AGGCTGGATAGAAGGCTGCAGGTGCCTGGAGCACTTTGTAACCATCTTTTTTCCAAGGTCCTGGCCCTTAGCAGTAATACCAGAAATTAGGGAAGGGTTGGTTTTGTTGAGGGGTGTTCATTTGCCAGCATTGGAGATTAAGAATTTTAGTACTTTCTTTTAGGTGACTCATCTAGGGTACAAGTGAGCTGATTTGCCAAATTAAATCTGCGGTGGGCAGTTGCCCATTCCAACCTGATCCTTTTAACTAAAGAAGAAATACCGGAGCGCGTGCGTGGCTCAGTCGGTTGAGTGTCCAATTCTTGATTTTTGGCTTAGGTCATCAGCTGAGGGTCGTGAGATTGAGCCCCGCGTCAGGCTCCGTGCTGAGTGGGGGCACTTCTTTGGATTCTCACTCGCTCACTCTCAAACAATAATAAAAAGAAAATAAATAAAATACAGTGTTAATAACAACAAATAATTAATAAGTTGAGTTCAGTGCTCCCCGGGTGGATTCTACATCTAAAGGAAGACCAGAATGTTCTTTAAAGACAATTTGGAGTTGATTGTAATAGTCATGAACAGGTTCATCAGGCTTTTGTGTGCAAACTTGAATTTTGTTCCAGTCAACAGGCTTAGTAAAAGCTACTATAATTGCTTGGTGAAGCTTTTGCGGAGAGTGTCCTAGCATCCTGCCAAAAGTTAGGGGTCTGTTTTCTCTAAATCCCCTTCAGGCTGTTCCCATCGGGCTAGTTTCATCCATTGTTTGGCCAGGCCCTCGCCAACAGGCATGTGGACGAATATAAATCTGAGAAACCAGGTTGGTAAATGTGAATAACTCTGCTAAATTCTTCAGCAAACCTTATGGGGGTCCTCAGTCACTTTGGGAAACTCTGTAACTATGTCTCACAGTTTGGCCCTATTCCAGGGAACATAAGAAATGGGGGGCTTATTTGGATCCTCCGATACTTAACTTTAAAGGAGATTTTAATAGGTCTGGGAGAGGAGGGAGAAATTCCTTCACAGGGAAAGGGAAGTTGAAAGAAAGGATTAGCTTGGGGGAATATGGAGGACCTGCAGAGCAAATAGAGGAAAATGGTGCCAGAGGTTGGATCTGAGCCAGGAGGCTGCCATATATCCTGAGACAAAGAGGAACAGGAAGGAGAAGAGCGGCTTTAGCTGCCCTTTTTTCTTCGTTTGCCTCAGCCAGTATAAATTTTAGATTCCTGATAATGTTTGGAAGCTGCAAAATACCAATCAATATAGGCATGCCAGTCAGTTGATAATTTTAGAGCCAGGCCTGTCCAATCCAGTTTTGAGAAGAGTCAATTTAGGAAGATGGAAGGTTCCCCACTAAAGTTCCAAATGACTTTCGGTTAAGTTGGTCCATTGAGTTAGAAATGCGCATGAAGAGGGACTGCAGTTTTTAAACATAAAACCAGCTGGGGTCCCAGAAGGGGGAGGGCACCCCCTAAAGCATTTTGAGGGCTGGCTACATACAACTCCGAAAAGGGCCTAACGGACTCCATTTCTTAGTGGTTTATTCTCTAAAGTAACAAAAATATCCTAAACAGCACAGTTTTTCAACGGGAAAGACATGATTCCAAAAGGAATCCTACCAAAGGCCAAATGAGTACTCTCAGAAAGAACAAAGCCTTAAAACAGATCCCGAATAAAGTCTGGAGAGCTCAAAACACAGAGTGGAGCTTGAAATCCAGGAAAAAACTTACCTGCAAACTCTAAGGTCACCAGGAGAGCAGCTCACTTGGCTCTGGGGGCCCGCATGGCTTTACTCTCAAAGTATTCTAGCTTTTACTAAGCCTGTTGATTGGATTCTCTCTGGATCCCACTCTGATCACTAAATAATGTGAACCTTAATAATAAAAGCCCATTATTTTACCAGCAAAAAAAAAAAAAATCGTGGGGGGTGGTTATTCGAGAATAGCAGGATTGCAATTCCAGGCATGTAAGCTACGGCAAAACCATAGGCAAGTCGTATCCTAAACGTGGGGTGGGGAGATTACTTTATGGAGGAGGATCCCCACTATACCTCGCAAGGGGTACTGAATGAAAGTCCAGTGGAGAAGAGCAAGAGTTCAGGGCGATGACAGGTTCTTACTGGCTGAGTTGCCCGGGTTGTCCATTTCTTGTAGGAGATACCGATGTACATCTTTCCCTGTTGGGGGTCTGTAATTGACAGTTCTTCTGGTTGTACGGCTCCCCCTTCTGTCCTCCCTACTCCACTTTAATGAGGTTTCCCTTCGTTAACTTCCGCCATTGCAAGGGAGTCTCCCATTGGTGTCTGGGGAGGTGGGATCTTGCAGGGACAGCCCGAGCGTGTATTTGGTCCACCTGAGTGAGAAACAGAATGATGAGTGGCCACATGTGAGAATTAGCCATCAGGTGGAACTCCCCTCTGTGACTAATCAGGTGAGTGCTAGAATGACCTCTAGTGAAAGAGATCCAGTCAGTTCTTCCTCTCGTATTCTGTGCACACCTGAGAGCCAGAGCGCCCCTTTGAGGAAGAATATTTAAAGTCACTATAAAGGAGAAGATGAATTTGGTGGAAAAGCCAATTTTTTTTTCAGAAATCTAAAAGGAGCCTCATAAAGGTTATACTTAAAGTATTAAATCCAGAGTTTAAACGGTTACCCCAAGTCCCCTGTAGAACATGAATCAGGTAACAAGAGCTCGGGCCATGTGGAAGGACCAGACCTGTGCATAACACCGCATTTGTACTGGTGCTCACCTTGACCCTGGCCGGGCGTGGGGGGACTGGTATTAGCTCCATTTTTAAAGATCAAGAAACGGAGACACCAAGAGGTGAAGCAACTCGCCCCAAGGCTTTCGACTCAAGTTAAAGGTTCGTTCTTTTCTCTCACAAAGGCTCTCCAAAATATGAAAAACTTTCCTAGGCACTTCGCTTTCTAATTTCTGTTTGAAGGGCTTTTCTGACTCCTTCCAGGGCTGCGTCATCTGGTAATGGAGCTTGGCAGGCAGGATAAAATTGACACGGTTAGCACAAAGAAGGATGCCCTACTTTAATGATAACATTTTTAAAGACCCTTGCACAGATACAGATACATGAAGGAGTTACATATTGGCATTTTAGAGGCTATTGTGGTCCAAGCAAGCATTAAAGAATGACTCCTTTATCTTGCAACTTTGCAATGGGGGGGGGGGCAGGGGGCCCTGGGCTGTCCGTCCCTTCCCATGGCAGAGCTGTTGTCAGAGGTTTCAGGGTCTTGGCACCTCATTGCTTGGTGATGGGTGAGCTAGGACAAAGTGACCTCAAGAGAGAAGAAAAAGGAGGAATACTTGGGGGCTATCACAACTCCTAAAACCCAGAGAAATTCGGTGAATGGATTCAAACGATCCCATTGGGCCATAGAAACAGCCAGATTTGTCCCATTCTTTTCCCAAGTCTATCAATTTAAATTGGCTCCAGATCTCCATTTCTTTACCTAGATACTGTGGCGTGTGACTTAGTTTCTCCTAGGTGGTTGTCAGGACAGTTAGGCCAGTGGGCTCATGTTCAGTTAAATGGAGAAAAAGCATTTGTTGGAGGGGCTGGGAGAACTCCCAGCGGTCAGTGAGGAAGGCCTCAGACACTTTGGGGCAGAGAATGCTGGGATGAGGACTTTCCTTTGGCGGGCCCAGGCTGACTTAGAAGCCGCAAAGAGGGAGCAGATCATGCAGGATTTTTGAGCTTGGAATTTACCTATAGAATCAAGCTGCTTGGGCAGTTTTAATGAGGTTTCAACTAAAATCCCTTCTCTGGGGTTTCTCTCCGGGCTGGGGGCAGAGCTGGGTGGTGCCAAGGCACCCGGGGAGCCAGGAGCTCTGCCAACCTCATTCGCACTGTTGGGGCAGTGAAGTCCCCCTCACACCCATTCTGGGCCTGTCACTAAAACCAAGGAAGTGTTGTTTCCCTCAGTAAGCCTTTTCCCTCCCTGGCTCAGAAAAGGAGGGACACAGCCTATGTAACACGGGTGTTCTAAATCTGGGGACCGTGAGTGGACTTTAGGGGCCCACGAACCCCCTGAAACATGGGTGTCATTTTGCGGGTAGATGTATTTTCCTGGACTAAGGATCTGTATCTCATCACATCAGATTCTCAGAGGGACCTCCCTTGATAAAACGTGAAACTCTTGACAGTCCAGGGGTGGCCCTGGAAAGAACAGTCCAGATCGCAGGCTACCCCAGCACTGGGATCTCAGATAAGTTGCCACCTGCTTCCAATGATCACGTTCTGCTTTTGAGGTTTCTCCCTGGATGTGATTGGCAGCACATTCTGGCCTTGGGGATCCTTTTTTTGTGAGGCAATTAATTTGTATTAATGAGCCATCCATTGATTTCCCATAGTACAGATGAGACGCTTTCCCCCCTCACCAGGGGCTGCTTTCACAATCCTGATGATCTGGCCACACACCAAACATTCTAATTTAATTGTTCTAGGATGGAGCACCTTGGATGATTTTAAATGTGCAGCCAGGACTGATAACCTTTGAGCTCAATTGCACAAGGGACAGAAACACAGACACGAATTAAGAAGGCTAGTTTTTATCCCCTCTGCCACTTTTGATCACTGGTTGAAAGCACCTGAAATACTCTATTGTGAAGGTTTTAAAACCAGTTCCCAGCTCAGAATGAAAAGGATTCAATGCAGTGGTAACGTCTAGGGGAAGGGAAATTGTTAGCATGTGTGCAGGTATTTTTCATCTTAGATACATGCGTACACATGTGTGCATGCATATCAGACATGTTTATGTATATAGACACAAGGTAAAGGGTACTCGTGTTCAACTTCTGGTCCCAGCTCCCTCTACTCACACAGCCTTAGAAGGGCCGTGCAGGAACACAGTACACAGAGTGCAATACCCTCCTTGCATTTCCCTCTAGGAGGTCGCACTGCGTCGACACCAGGAATGGTAAGGAGAGTGGGTACACGCGTGCGGATGGGGAGAGACCAGCCTGCAGAGCCGGAGCGGGAGTGTGATGTGTTCTCTGCCCTCTCGCAGGCTTCATCCCCCCTCCCCTCATCTTCGGGGCCGGCATCGACTCCACCTGCCTGTTCTGGAGCACCTTCTGCGGGGAGCAAGGCGCCTGCGTCCTGTATGACAACGTGGCCTACAGATACCTGTACGTCAGCATCGCCATCGTGCTGAAGTCGTCCGCCTTTGTCCTCTATACAACCACGTGGCAGTGCCTGAGGAAAAACTATAAACGCTACATCAAAAACCACGAAGGCGGGCTGAGCACCAGTGAGTTCTTTGCCTCTACTCTGACCCTAGACAATCTGGGGAGGGACCCTGTGCCCGCAAGCCAGACCCATAGGACAAAATTTATCTATAACCTTGAAGATCATGAGTGGTGTGAAAACATGGAGTCCGTTTTATAGTGACAAAAGGAGGTGGAACTCTGTATTAGTAATCAAAGGGTCATTTTTCCTAAAAAAAAAAAAAAAAAAGTTTCAAAAAAAAAAAAAAACCCCGCAAACTCAGTACAGACACACACACACAACACGTACACACAACACGACCTTTGTCCTCTTTCTCAAAATCAGAGCCAGACAGGATTCAGAATAAGGAGAGCATGGGATCGTGTGTTTGTCGTCCGACCTGCTGGGGCCCAGAGTCTACTCTTTGAAGGCACCTCATGCTTTTTCGGGATGCCGACAGCTGCAAGCAACAGGCACTGCCAAATTCAGGGAACAGTGGTGGCCAGCTTGGAGGATGGACGTTTCTGGATATACATACACATACAAAAATTTTTTTAAAAAGTCTACTAAACATCACAAGTTGACAACCAGGATAAGCACTAGGGACACACACCCCGTGCTACCTGCCTCCTCCACGTGAGGGTGGGGAGCATGCAAGTTGGAGGAGCGGGTGCCCCCTCCTCTAACTTTCGCAATATGGGTCACTGTGTAGACGACTCACCCAGTCTGCATGTGGTTCAAGGCCCCCGAGTTCTCTCAGCGATGCTAATGGGTGATCCGTGCTGGAGTCTGTAATTGGCACCTCTCACCAGCTCCATGTTCATGTTCAAGACTGAGGGCCCGAGAGGGGAGCCAGGCGTGGGGGGCCAGCAACTCACCTCCCCCCCACCGCAGCAACCCCCCCCCCCAGCCCCGCAGAGTGACCTCAGGAAGCAGTGGGCCTCGCCTGGCTATGACTGACTTCGCTCAGAGCCGGTGAAAACCACACAGTCCAAGTCATTTGCTTACATTTGCCAAACATTTTACCATTTTTAAAGGAAAAAAAAAATGCAATGCATATGAATTTCAAACTGTTGTATGTATAATCTTCTAATACTATTTTTAACCACTTCTAAAATCCGTGTTAACCCTTCAATCACTAACACAGTTCTCTAGGCTGAGTTTATTATGCTGGTTGCTTTTTCCTTTCCTCCTTTTTTTAATGCACCAAAAATATAATGTGATTCAAGGGATGCAATTAATCTATTGTAATTTTTTTTATCGTTTTATCCTTATTCGGATATTCTGCGAAAACAAGAATATACCATGTGCTACGGGAAGGAAAAAAAAAAAATTCTTGGGAAAGAGTGTCTATGCAGCCTGCCTTTAAAAGAATCACATTTGAGCCAACAGGGGATAATGTGATGAATTGCAAATTTGCCTTCTGGCTTTATTCCCCATGATTCAGTGATCACTGTCATGGGAAGCCCTTTTTATATTCATGCTTCACATTCTGAGAGGCGTTCTTTTCAGCCCGTGGGTTGAGGAGACACGCTTAGATGTGGGTTGTGTGGATGGGTGCGGTGCTTCTGGGGGTAGGCAAGAGAAGGAACGGTCCCCTAGCACGAGCTGTCGAGCAGTTTGTGGGGTCTGTGATGATGGTGAATAGACCCACAGGGTCACGGGAGCCACCGCGTGTCCGATGTATTAAAAGGTCACTGTTTTTAGGGTCTTGAACGAAGAGGCCTCGGTCTGTGTTTTGAAAGTGGCTAACCCTCCAGCAGCTAGCAGGCAAACCTCCTTGTTTGGGAGGAGAATCATGGGAGCAGCTTTTGGGGTCAGCAGCCTCAGCCTCATGAGGCCATTCCCCGGAAGGGGACAGAGCTTATGGGAGAGCCTGCACACGCACACACATGGCCCAGTTAACGTTCCTTTCGTGTTTCCTCAGTGACCTTGGTCCAGGCCACTCATGGCCCTGAGAAAGATCTCAAGGGTTGTTGGTTGGTTTGCCTTTTCACCTGAGACACAGATGTGCAGTTCCCCTGGAGGGCAACAAAAGAATCAGGAATGAAAAGAATGGGGAGAAGACCGGGCTCTTGTGCCAAATTTCTCACACATACTGTAAATGGGGCAGTTTAAGTGACAGCCCGAAACTAGAGAAAGCCCCACCGAGCAAGGACAACTCAAAGAGAAGCTTGTGTCATGGTGCGGGGCCACCATGATCAGCTGCCTGGGACAGGATGCTTCCAAAACCACCCTTCTGTGTGTTTCAGTCTGTCCTTGTCCGGGAACATGGGGACACGCATCAGTATGTCAACTAGTAAGAGGCGAGATTGTTCTCCAACCAATTCATAAAATATGTGTGCTCTGTCGCTCCTAAGGCTTTGAAACCATTCTGTACAGGTTTGGGGTGAGTTTTGTTTTGAAATGTGTTGCTAATAGGTCACTGCCCTCTGCGTAGCTCTCCAAACTCAGTACACACACACTGAGCCCCGCTGACCTTGTGTTTTCATGGGGCCATTTGCTTTAAAAAGAAAAACATTTTTTTGAAAACTCTTTGCATTTTGGATTTTTTTTTTTCCCTAAGATTTTAGGATGAATGAGATGTTGACATGAAAAAGGAAACACCTCCAGGGTTCAGTTTTGTCAACAACTGGATATGAACTTAAAGTCCCCCATTGCAAGATGGCTCCAAAGTGCGGTGTGTCACCTTTTAGAGTTTTAATGTCTCTCCTACTACAGAACAGAAAACCTAGTCTGGTGTTAGGTTTCCTTTTGTGCTACAAAGAACCATTGTACATAAGTGTTAGATCCAGCTCCTTGGTTATTTGTTTGGTTTTGAGTGGTATTTTGAATGAAAGATTTCCTGGCAAGAGCTCCATTGGACTTAGAGAAAACAAAAATGTAAGGGGTAGAATAAACCTAGAAGGTGAACACTAAGCTTCTTTCTCTCTCTCTCCTGCCCCAAACTCCTCCGCCATCTTGGTCGAACGTGCCCAGAGATGGATGAAAAAAAATCTCTCTTTGCTGCAACCTTTGACAGATTTTTGTAATTCCTACATGTAGACCAAGAAGTTTTTTGACCGATATTATTCCTGCGTATGAAGTAAACACATTTTGTAAAAGTAGATGTCTGTCTGGGAGGTGGAGTTTGGTGTGTGCTGTCAGGGAAGACCAGCAGCCTTGCCCCCTCCTTCCAACCTCCACAGAGGAAGGCTGGGAAGCGTCAACGCACCCTGGGTACATCGCCACTCCAGAAGGCCACAGCCTGTGGACTTTACTCACAGCTAATGAAGGAGCAAGAGAGGCCTCCTCTCCCCGTGCCCCCCTAAGGAGTTTGCTAGTAGTGCTTAGCAGGCAAAATAATAAGGGGAAGCCAAGAGCTCCTGAGGAATCCTTTGGCAGACTTGTTAATGTCTTCCAAGCAGGAAGGAATGTGCTTCTCCATAAAAATCACTTTTTTCTCACCACCTTACAGTAGAATAGCTTTCTCTAGAGATTTTTTTTTTTTTTAAGTTAGGCCTATACATTTTAAAGTCGTGCCCTGATTTAATCCACTTCCCTGTCTTCAGGGATGACCTAGAGCTTGCCCTCACTCAGGCATGGCAAGATTTCCCATCCCTTTCCCATGGAAAGCTGCTGCAGCACTGAGGCTTTCCTCATGGCCTAATGAAGGAACAAGAGAGGTCCTCTAAGGTGACCTGCAGAAACGTTCCATATCGAGGCAACCAGCCAGCCAGTCCTTGGGAATGACCACCCTACCACGCCAGAGGCATTTTCTCAGGAAAAAGATTCCACCATTGTTGCTAATGGATTATCTTCTGCACTTCTAGAGCAGGCCATTCTTTGAGGAACATATGAAATGGAGAAAAAAAAATCTCACACACACACACACACACACACAGAGAAACCCTCTGAGGAGAAGCAGCTGTTGGCTTCCATGAGCCCGTGAGGCTGGTTTTCTTGCTGCCTGCTCTTCAGGTCCTCACAAGTGTGATCTCTTCACCCAGTCAGGTCTGCCAGACCTGTTCCTGTAAGCGCTCCTCAGCGGCATTAAGCAGTAAAGGTCACTATGGAGAAGTCATACAGTCAAGAGCAGAGGAAGAAGGGAGACATTCTGTTACGGTTTGGCGGAGTTACCCTCCAGCGTGGTTTGTGTATTCGGTGTGGTTTGGTTTAGATGAAGGGCGAAAACCAGGCCAGCAGTGTTTCAGCTCCGCAGAGAATATTTGCTGTCTTGTGCTATTCTTCTTTGCCCATTTTGATGGCTCAGGAGAAAGTTCCAGACACACCGTAGGGGCTTGATGGCTGAGCTCATGCTGCTGCCCTCTCCCTCAGCCTCCCCTCAACCATGAGCTGTGTTTCCCTTTAGGTTAGAATCCAGGCCAAATACTTAAGAGGTGCCACGTTTTACAAGAGAAGGATTAGTGTGGAACATAAACACCATCCTTTTCTTCCTCCCTCTGCCCTTCCTCCTTTTTCGTTCTACCACTGCTTCCAACTCAGTCCGCATTGTTGAGTTCTGAACAGGTGCGAGGACCTAATCTCTTCAAGCAACTGGCCCTAAATAATAGCCTTTAGACCCAGCCCCCCTGGGGGATTATGATTGCTCACAAATAAATTTGTAAAACTGAAGGACCCCTAACTGGTAGAATATGCAAGAAGATATTTTTGTTCAGATGCCTCTTAGAGGGGCCTGTTGCCCAGGGTAACACGTGGAAACTACCCTGCCTGCCCACAGCCACCCACCCATGCCTCCCCTTTCTCACATTTGTAAGTGATCTCAGAGTACTTGGTCATCGTGGCAGGAAGGACAGGAGTTAAAAGGTCTAAAATGGGAAACTGAGAAAACCAAAGAGTCTCCTGTACCTCAGAGATCTGTGATGGCCCTGGAGACAGGGACAGAACTCCTGCCTCTCAGAGAGCATCCACATGGTAGTATGCCTTCCCTTTGCAGGGTTAGTGTCATCCAGGGATTTATCATATGAGCTTGATAATTTCTAAACATGTAGTCATTCATTCCTTTATGAAGATTCTGGCAGTATGCCAGGCCCCAAACCAGCTACAAAGATGAAAAATACATGGTTCCATCCTCCAAGAGCTCACAGTTCCATGAGCCAGACAGACCCGAACACAAACAAAAGCAATAGAATAGTAACACTTACGAGCCCTGCTCTGACTGGGCCCAAGGAGGGCTGATTCGTGGTGGTGGGAAGTGCATCCTCTTGGCATCGAGAATCAGAAAGGTTTCAGAGAGAGGCGTGGTCTAAAACCAAGAACTGAAGAGCAGTGTGTGTCGGCCAGAGAGATGGGGCAGGAGGTCACCTCTCCTGAGAGGACCGCCAGAACAAGTTGACGGACTTTCTGTAAAGGGCTAGGTTTTTTAAGGCTTTGAGAGTCATACGGTGTCTGTCACAACCACTCAATTCTGTTGTGGCATGAGAGCAGCTCACGTATAAACAAATGCATGGGCTGTGTTCCAATAAAGATTCATTTACAAAGACAGTGGTCGAGGGCAGTAGTGTGCTGAGGTCTGAAGCAGCACAGCATCTTTGGGGGAAGGGGGGGCCCTAGCAGCTAAGCTGCTCTAGCATGGGCCAAGTCATGTGTTGGAGGGGTCCTGCAGCCAGGTGTCCATCAGCCCTGACGTTACTGCCCACAGGAATCTAATGCAGGTATCCCATTTTCCAAGAATGAGGTAAGTACCCCATGACTGGCAGGGTTTACAATGAAGGCAACATTATCTTTCTCTCTATGGACTGAGAGGAATTTGAGCTACAGGATCTGATCTCCAGTCTCTTCCAGCTCTGATATGCCATAGTTCTACCACAGTAATTGTCCTGTTTTCTTATGTGATGAAATGGGGTTGGGAGGAGGAAATGTAGGAATGAGTTAAAAAAAAAAAAAAAGTGAATCCAAATAGTATTTCACATCCATTCCCACCAACATAAAACGTTGGCACTATGAAGCTAACAGATAAGCCAGGTGGAATAATTGGTAAACACTAATAATAACTAATAATAATAGTAGCTAACATTTACCAAGCACTTACTGTGAATCAGCTTCTTATACGTATTAGCTCATTTAATCTCAACAATAGCCCTGTGAGGCAGGAACTGTTATTAGCATCAATGGACAGGAGAGGAAAGGAAGCAGGGAAGGCTTCCAGAATCGGCTCAAGGCCACGAAGCAGAGCTGGGATTCAAACCCAGGTCTGTGAATCCAAAGCCCGTGATCTTAGCTTTTATGGGTACCCCCTGCCTACTGAGCAAGACGTGAGACGCCCTTCTCTACCCATAGGGACTGCCTCATCAGAAAGACTCTGGCTCAAATGGACTGTGTGTTCTACCCACTCTCACATGCCCCCTAATATAACCACCAAGGACACCACGACAGCTGTCTTCTGGGGACTTCTGTTCTTCCTGGGTTATTCCCGGTCTTAACTACAGAGCCCAATGATCAATTTCTATGGGGTATTCTGCCAGAAACAGGTAACAGGAAACAGGAGACTCCTCCACTCTAATACATTCTGACACACCAGAGAGGCATTCCTCTGTGCTGGTCATCGGCTCCAGTGGGGACACCCCAGACACTTCTCCCACCAGGCACTGCCATGGTCCTCAGCATCAACCTCAGGATTTTGGCTCTGGCCCAGGGCCTTCAGACACAACAACGCAGGTCGCCGGTTGGATAGGTCTTACTCTATTATCAGATTACTAGGCTTTTAGGAACAGACTTTCTAGATGTTTCTATTTTTGCATTAATGACTCAGGCCAACAATCAGTAGTTGATGTTTAGCATAAATTCTGACTATTTTTCCATAAGGCAAAGTGATTTTGTTCTTCTGTTCTGAGCAAATGGAATGGTAAATTTTCTGGAGGTTTAACATTCTATAGGTTGACATCTTGCCATTAAATCCCCCAAAATAATATTTTTCTTAAATTCATGCTAACTTAAAAGAAGAGAGCTCTCATGGTATTATGTTTGTCAAAACTGTTCAATTTTATAATCTAAGGACATAAGATGAATCAGAAGTATGCAACGTAGGAAGTTGCATTACAGAAGGAACCCAACTAACACATAGATTAGTCCAGCACCTCAAAGGAGGAAGGGGCTAGGGAGCTCCCATGTAAGAGTCTGCTACCCACATGCCAGCTGTCCTAAGGCATGGTCCCAGGTAACGCACCCAGCAGCTTTACACCAGGCAAAGGGAAGTGTAATTTTTTTCCACTTTTACAGATCAGGAAACTAAGGTTCAATAAACCCAAGGCTTCCAAGGTCACACAGCTAAAAGGCCACCAGGAGCCAATGCCAGGTCTGTCTGACTCCTGAACCAGTGCTCTTTCTACTACACCACATCACCACAATGCAGGAGCCAAGATCTGCCTCTTCGGAAGCTCTGATGAGGCCAGTGGGGCATCTACTCTTGGGAAAACCCCCCACAGAAATTTATATATTTCATAGAGAAATGAGCCAAGAACCGGAAGTGAGACCTCTGTAAAATGTTGCCTACAGGCACGGGAATCTAAAATGAAAAAAACCTCTTTTACCTTAATAAACATTAGAAACCTCTAAACACACTCCTTCCTTCTTCCACCTTAGCCACATTAGTAGAAGTGTTCTGGCCACTCAACAACCTCTCTCTTACTCGTTCCGGGCACAAGAACCAACTCCAGCTCTCGCTTCTGGCCTACCCTCCCCAACTCCCTGTTCCCCGGGGTTCCAGCAGAACCTGCCCCCCCCCCGCCCCAAGACCACAAGAACTTGATCCTCATGAAAGTTGAGGAAGGATGCTCCAAACTGCTCCGAACACACAGGCTGCCTCCTGTAAGCCAGATCTCAGCTGCAAAATCCTGAGGAAAAGAGTGACATTTCCCCACTGTCACCTTTTCTACCACCGGGTCAGAGTCTAAAGAGGACAAGTAAATGAGCGGGACTTGTATGGTCCCATTGTGCCTATCACTGAACAGCAGAGCTGCACATCATGCTCAGTGAGACCTATCCAGCTTGTAAGTCAGCCCAGAGACTAGCTGGGTTTTTAATGCCTTTTAAACGAAGCCACAGCATCTATTTTGGAAGTGTGGCATAGGCTTAAAAACCTTGCCCCAGTGAGGAGATTGTTTGACTCAGCATGTGGTGCATCCTGTGGCTGGAAAGAAAACAGTGTCCAGGATGCTGGAGGAGAAAGCATGACATTATGACGTAGGCGGGTGCTGTCTGGCGCTCAGCCACATCTTCAACAGAGATTGCCGTGACATTTGGAGTCCCAGAACACAAGGCCTGTCACTGGTGATTTATATAAGATGAGGACAAGTTAATGACTGGGATACTTATTCATTCCCAGAGAAGAAACATCTAGTTGAGTGTTGGTGTAGATACACAGATAAACGTGCTTGTCAGAAAGATGTGGCCTTCACAAAGGTCTCTGGGCTTGGAATCTGGCTGCTTGGGGTTACATGGAGCAAAACCCAGTATTTCCTTGCATGACTTCTGCTCTTGTCCATTCCACTGGAAAGCCCTGGTGGTATTATATAAGCCTTTTAAAAAAATAGTAGGAAAACCAGAAAAGACCGATCTCTTTTTCCTCTTGGCTCTTCTTCCCTCCTCCCTTTTTAGGCACAGAGTACCAAGACATTGAGACTGAGAAAACCTGCCCCGAGTCACACTCACCTTCAGAAGACTCCTTTGTGAGAAGCTGAGGGCCTGGCCCTCATCCTCCTCCTCCAGAGAACAGCCCGCCTCTATCCACAGACCTCGCAGGCCTGACTTAGCGTGCTCTGCCCTGCCCAAGAACCCAAGGGTTCCTGTGTGGATTATCCGGCCAGTGTGTGGTCCTTTGAGGCCCCAAGCACAGGCCTGTGATGAGGACTGAGGAGGTGTCTGTGGTCAGGAGTCCTCCAAACCCTTGCAGTAGGCAATTTTCCCGGGTTGCTAAAGAGTAACGTTGACCAGGTGTGCAAATTCCCTTTGGCCTATCCCTCCCTTGGCTCCTGTGGGGATGTCCTGCTGACACGCTTTAGAAAACCCCTCTCCAGAATGCTTCTCTGACGGAGGGCTCCAGCAGCTCTTCCAAAAGCAGCCGAGGCTGGATTACAATGGAGTGGGGGTGTGGGGATGGTAAAAATGACCCTGTTTCACAGAAGGGACGGGAAAAAAAGCACATACTCAATAGATTTTGAGTGTGGTATTCTGTATTTTTGCAGCTTATATTTTCCAGATGAGCAGTTTAGAAATATGTGATGTAAAGTACATACTGTACATTTGCTGAAAATTATATTAAAAGCACTATTTTAATTCTTTCTCTGTCTCATGCTGTAATCTCTATTATCTTTTTCTCTTGTGTTTTTGGGTAGAATGATCTTAAAAGATTCTTTGGGGGAGTGTTTCTGGCTGTAGATGTTCTATATTTGTGGGCTTTGACTCATTCAAAAGAGCATGGGCTTTGGAGCCAAAATAGTTCCTGGCTTCAAATTCCTCACCCCAGCCCTTGATACTGATGTGGCATTGAGCAAGTGAGCAGACTGCACTGAGCCTCAATTTTATCATTTTTAAACCAGAATATTGATATCTGCTTTATACTGTTGTGATAAGACATAAATGAGGTCACATGTGGAGATACCAAGCTCTAGAACAGAATGGTCGCTTGGTAAATGGGAATTATTCATTGCCATCCCAACTCTGGCTGGAATGAGGAGCTCCACAGCCCTGATGCAGCTCCTACTGCTACATTTTCTGGTCCTGCACTGTCATTGTCTGGTTTTCCTTTCTGACTCTCCTACTGGGAGAGCAGGCAATGGCTTCCTTTCAGGGTCGACCCACTAGTATTTGGTAGATGCTCAGTATACGAGTGAGTGAATGAATAACAAATGGTCTCAGATGCATCAGCCTGGGGGAATTTGACTTCTGTCCCACTCTGCAGAGGTACCCGCAGTATTTGTCTTCCCTCTTCTAGGTCCACAGACACCCACCTCCCACCAGCCTCACCCCGTGGATGAGGCTCCAGTTGTCTTCCTAGTCCTTGCCAGGCCTCTTTGTGATTGGCTACTTTCTCCTCCACCATCCTGAGTCCACTGGCTAGACTCCTACCACATATGGACAGTTTGGTCAGGTTGATGCCAGCCACTGACATGCATCATACATTCATTACATTGCTGGCTAGACTGGAGCTCCAGAAACTGGTGCTTGCATTCTGGGCAAGATCTTGATCTAGGATGGCCCCACTCTTATGGGGCTAGCCCTGGTAACTGACCTACTTTCTTCATATCCCCTTCCAGCCTGGATCTTGCCCTAGACAGCTTCATCCTTTATAGGTGAGCTCACCTGAAATCAAAGTTTGTCAAGCTAATATTACTGGGAGACTTCACTCACCTCGGCCCTATGTGGTCTTTACTCTAGGGAGTCAATGGACTCACGAAAGAATATGCTTGGGCGAGTTAACCTTCCCTGAGGCCTGATTACCCAGCACACTGGTGCCTCGAAGACTCTTTTTTAGCCCAGTCTTGCTCTTTATGCGATTGTTTATTGTTTGCAAGGCAATATGATTTATTGTGTCTGGCATAAAGATCCCAAGAAAATGCAATTTTAACATTCTCCTTCCTGACGCAGAAAGATGCTGAAGCAGCTGGAAAATTAGTTAGTGGTTTCTCCCAGGAGCGGGGCTTCATTTGCTCTGGAAATTCAGCGAGAGGCAGAAGGAAGCAAGGAAGGGCTATTGCTTATGGCATTCATGCTCTCAGTCCAAAATTTCACATTTGTGTTGCATCTGTCGCCCAATTTCTTCTCTCTTGCTACCTTTCCTCCCATAAAGGTGATCAATTTATGGAAAGCTTACTCACCATCCATTTTATCTTAACTTCACAAAGACCTATTATTACTTTTTCGGAATCCAGAGATTCATCCTTCCACACATAAGCAGGTCCATAAGAGATCTGGTCACACAGATTGTTCAGCCAACTCAGGGAGAATGGACAGGTTAAACTCACATCCAGCTCTCAGCAATGTCCTCTCAGCCACCACGGCCAGCAGGGCTTTGAACTCCGTATACATGTGGTCCATCTTGATCCATATCTGAAAATCCAACTTGATCCTTTTCTCAGTCTTTGTGAAAGGGCTAGTCATGCACCCAAGCATTTGGCTCAACCAAAATAAAAACAGGCTGTTTCTGTGCCCTCAAATATGGATTCGAAACTACCAGTATACCCACTTTACAAAGAACCTGTCTTTTTTTTTATATTTTTAGGCTTTGCTACTTCAGGAACTACTGCTACAGAACTATTTCTGTAACTCTGCAGAGAAATGTCTATAGTTAACGCATAGGGCAGAAACTAACTTTTACTTTCCAGAATGCACTTTTAAAAGTATCATAAGCTTCCTGAGTTCCAGTGTTCCCAAATATGAAATGCACAAATATGCATTTATTGGATCCCCCAAAGGAGGGCTTTTCAGAATGTCAAGAGCGTTTCATTGGGCAATCCCACTTCTCTGCTGTTCCTCATGAAGGAATTAAGGGGTGAAATAAAAAAAAGCGATTAACTCAGATCACAAAGGCAGAGTGACAAATGCATGAATTCGTTTGACCAGCAATATAGGAAATAAGCCTCAGGGACCCAAACCTGCAGGACAGAAGCCATTGGCCTTCTTTGGAAAGGACACATGGTCTATGATGTTCCTCTCCATCACTTGTCACTGAGAACTTTGCCACAATCCACAGGAGCAACTTAAATGCCTTCCCAACACAATGGAAGTGGGAAAGTGTTATGCGCAGCATAGCAGTGGGCTCCTTTCTTCATCCAGATTCTTAACTCACCCTCATGCCTAATCTTCCATTCTTTTGGGGTATTCTGTATTGAGGCATCTATATTTTCATAGTAAAATCAGTGCTTGATATACAGTTAAAAAAAGAAAAAGCGCCCAAAGAAAATGGTAGTTATTTCAGTTGTTGCTAAAATAATCATGGCCTAGGTCTTTAAGTTGTATGCAAATGATTAGACATTACAACGCAATGCAAGAAAAGGAGACATATATGTCTTGAACAGGACATTGGAGATCAGACTTTATTTAAATGTCAACTGTCCCTGTGAGCATGACCCTTGAATCATATAGCACTGTCAATCATTTCTTCAGATGGTATTGGCAGGTCAATCTCCCCCAAAACTGGAGGTAGCTATTGGGGAGGAGAGCTACAGGAATCAGACCCATGCTGGTGGGGAGGAGAGGACCAAAAACACTTGCAGACCCTCACTCTTACTAGGTTCCACCCTCTCCTTCATGGCATCCGAGGCTCCCTGGGAATCTGAGCACTGGGGAAGAGGGTTAGCAGCTCCCCCACGCATTCTGCATTTCAAACTGAGGTATGTGCGGTTAAAGCAAGGCTAGTGGGTACTTACCCCCAAAAACAAAAACACAAATTCAAAAAGATAGATGCACCCTTATGTGTATTGCAGCATTATTTATAATAGCCAACATATGAAAGTAACCTGAGTGTCCATCAATAGATGAATGGATAAAGATATGGTGTTGGGGTGTCTGTGTGTGTGTGTGTGTGTGTGTGATGGAATATTACTCAGCCATAAAAAAGAAAGATCTTGCCACTTGCAACAACATGGTTGAAACTAGAGGGTATTATTCTTAGTGAAATTAGAGAAGGACAAATATCATATGATTTCACTTATATGAAGAATCTAAAAAAATAAAAACAAATCAACTAACTCAAAGCAGAAACAGACTCATAAATACAGACAACTGAAGGTTGCCAGATGGAATGGTGTTTGGGGGGGTGGGCAAAAGGGATGAAAGGCAGTGAGAAGGCCAACCTTCCAGTTGTGGAAACAATACGTCCCTGAGACTACAGGTACAGAGTAGGGAATGTAATCACTCATAGTGTAATAGCGTTATATGGTGACAGATGGTAGCTACACTTGCAGTGAGCATAACACAGAGTTGTGGAATCACTGTGTTGTATACCTGCAATTAATGTAACACTGTCACCTATACGCCAATGTTTTAAAAAAGCAACTTTGCTACACTTATTAAGAACTAATCCTGTCCATGTGGGAACTCTAAGCACATATTCTGTTTAAGCCCTCCCCAATAAGGACAGGCCTATGGACCTGTAGCTCTGGGGGCATGGAGGGAAGGGGAGCTCCACCTTCCTCTTCCCTGGCCAAACTCACCTCCAGACCCAGGTGTGGAAGTAAAGAGAGAAGCCCAGTTTGCTTCCTGGATTGCCCACGACTAAGCTTGCTGCCACCCCTGCTGACTGAGCCCCTTCTATGAAGAGCTGGTGTGGAAGCAGCCTGCCCAGTAAGCCAAGCTAGAGAAGGACTCCATTCCAAGAAGCTCCCCTGGGCTCTGTGGCTTCCTTTGGAGAAGTAGGTCTAACTTCAGGCAGACTTTCAGTCACCAGCCATGGGCTTCATTCCCTTGCACCTGTTTGCCCTACACTGGGTTGGTCCCTGGAGAACCCGGTTGCCTCCAACCTCACCTTCCCTCCTAGTCTGGGCTCTGGGCCTGAAGTAAGAACCAGGCCATTATCCCCACCTCTTTGCTTCTTAGGGCTGTCCTTGCCTCCCTTCTCCCCAGCCTGCTCTGATGGTGACAGGACAAGTCAGCAAGCCCATGCACCCAGTGTACAAGATGTCATCCCCCCTCCTTAATAAAGCCCAGACTTTGGGGTCCCTTTCCCTCAATTTTGAGGCAGAAAGCCAGTCAATGCTTTTCTTCACAAACATCACTTCTCCCCCCAAATGGTAACCTCTCACTCCCTCTTCAGCCCTTTGTGTGTGACAACAGGGGCACCCATGAGATATCGGGTAGGAGTTAACAGGAACCATTTTTCTCAAGAGGGAAAACCTCCAAACATTTCCCCTGGCATGCCACCCTACCACCTTGTACTACTATTATCAAAAGAGGAAGGCCAGCCAATAGGTACCTTTGATGATAAATGACACTCCCTCAAGAGAAGCCTCCAACTCTTCATAATGAACATCTGTCTTGCTCTGAGCTCTCAGCACTTTCTAGCCTTCAGGTAGTTAATTATTTGTAGAGTTTCACACTTAATGAAAGAGTATTGATCCAGGGCCTGGTGTGGAGCCCTGTGCCCTATGAAGCCCTGTGGAGAGATCCAAGGAAGCCTTGTACTAAATAAATTCACAGCCTAGATCAAGGAAAAACAAGCCTCCATATAATAGGATGACTTCTATGACACACTATACATTGAGGCATTATTATTGAGAAAGAGATGCCAGAGTGATGGGAATTCAGAGAGGAGAGAATCCCTAAGGACCAGAGTAACCAGATG